ACACAAATAAAATGACACTGACAATCTTGAACGTTTAGCTGTATCTAACAGATGATGCATTGGAGGAAACATCAAATATATAGATCCATGATTGGGGAAATCAGATTTGAACGCCATGCCTATCAGAATGATCTAGGGTTTTTAGTACATTACCAGCTGAACATGAGCAAAAATTATGATGAAACAGCTAATTGGACCAATGCTATTTTGGATTACATTGACAAAAGCATTACACCTGTGTGATGGGAAATAATGCACACTTATTAGCTTGGAGTTCTGCTCCAGGACTGGGCATCAGACATTAAATGGGATTCAGAGAAACAAAAGTGAGTTTGTTATAAAATAAATATATATAATTCGAACCAATAATAATATTTCCAGCATTCAGTCAGGGTAGATTTTTTGGGGGTATGTTCAATGTTAGCCCTATATGATGTTTGGGTTATTTTTTTTTTCTCTTTTTTGTACACAATTTTGTTGTTACTGAATGTTACTTATGAATGTTTTTCTGTTCTCTGTTTTGCATTTTATTCCTGTTGATAAAACATCATCATCATCATTTTAACCATTATCTATCCACTGCAGGGTGAAGGCCTCTTCCTTATGTTTCCAATCAATACAGTCTGAGTCCTTTCTTCTACCAATTGGGCCCACAATACCTGTGGATGTCATATATAAATCTATATATATATATATATATATATGTTGCAGGGAAGAAAATAGGAGGAGGAAGATGGGTTGAATATGTTTGGCGCCTTAGGTTTTTTGTGCAAGTAACAAATGTGGAATATGAATAAATAAATAAACTCTTTTCTGTGGTATAATTTGGCAAAATATTTTTTGCAGGCCAGGTAAAAAAGGAAGAAATACAGAGGTATTTTGATATCTTTTTTGCATTTGTTTTTGTTGTTTTAAAATATTATCCTTTAGATTGGTGTTCTTTTTTTTAAAAAAAAATCAAAATGATTCACCCACCCTTTTTCCTCTAAATCACATTATTAACCTGTACTTAATCATTTTTAAATACAACATAAAAAAATGGTTAAAAGAAAATTTACTATTGATTTACTATCTAGGTATTTGCTTAAGAAAAAGAGTATTAGATATAAAGATATACACAAAATAGTCCAGAGAGTAAATTAGCAATTTAGTAAAATGGTTCTGGTTTACTCTAGGATGACATCTGTTCCTGGGGCAAATAAGCAGAGGCCAGCTCCTTATTTCTGCTGTGTCTTATTTGAGTACAGTAGTATATCTGTTTATTCCTTTTTAAACCCATTGCTAAAATCCTCACTGGCACAGTTTAGTCATCTGACAAAACTTAGTTTCCAAATAAACCAAGAAAACATTGACTCGGATAGCTCCACTTGGGACAATCTATCTTCTTCGCCAATGCAGAATTCCATTGTAGTATTACCAACTGCAGATGTTGGTTTTGCTAGTACTGAGCTCTGACAATGAAAAGCATAAAGAAGAGTGTATCATAGACAATATTTCCCCTGCTTCTACGAGAAAAGAGACAATCTGAGATTTTGTCTAGTGACTAAGGTTCTCCAGTTATTGTAGAGAATGATTCAATTTTATATCCTTTTTGATCTGCCCCATCTTCTGCCAGTGGCTCCATCACTCACAATTCTGCAGCCTTCTTCCCCACAGTGAGATTGAGCTCTGAGCTACATGTCAGGGAGTGAAATTAAATATTGATCAGTATAAACCTCTTCTCCAAAAAAGGTGAAAAATATCTTACCAATTGCTTTGATCAGCATTCATCTTCTCTTCATTGGTTGAATTAAGAGGTTATATAAAGAGGTGGCAAATATGTTTTATTTGCCACCTCTTTATATGTTTATCTCACCTTTATTGTTTGTATAAATAACCTAGGAAGGTGAGCATACACAATACTTCTTCTACCTCCTATTTTCTCTACAGCAGCCCTGTGAGATGAATTGGGCTGAATGTGCATGTCTGGCCCCAAGTCACAATATAGCATCGAGCTCAAATTTTTAAAATTTGATTTTATTCAGTGCATTCTTATCTTAGTAGGAAATTTATATGGTTCCATTTATATGATTCCAAGTGTTGTTGATTCTGTTCATACTACAAAAACAGTTGAAAATGAATTGTATCAAAATCAATATTGTCTGCAGGATCAATATCATTATCAAGCTCAATGGGGCCTGTACTCTACGTAGCTCTCAGTAAAGACATGGCCATGATTCTTCTAATTAGAGATGCAGGCTTCACATATGTAATAAATAAGTCACATAGTTTTTCCACAAGCAAGCCACATCCATACTTTTAATGTGTTTTCTGTTACATCGTCTACACCTGCAGTTTTTACCATTTTTTCAATATTCCCCCACTATTTATGACTTCCTTTTCATTCATATGCACGAATATTTAAAACATTCATTTCAGTTCTACTCCTCAAAATATAGCTGCTGTATGCTTTTCTCATTTTAGTTTCAGCTCAAATAATTTCACTGGTTTTATATTTAATCCCATTCCTTTCATTCTGCTGAAGATTCCTTGGTTAGCTCTGATCACTTACAAGATTTTATCTTCATCAATGTCAGTTTCCCTTTTCATTTAAATTTTAACAATTCTTTATTCTCTTTGACTAAAGTCTTTTCAGCTACCCTTTTCTCTTATCTACTTGCTTGCTTTCATCCTCATTTCGGCAACATTTTGTTACGTGCATTTTCCCCTGATCCACCACATTTTTCACTTCATCATCCCACCCAACATTTTTTCCATAGTGATCATTAGAGTAAATCTACATATTTCTGCGATCCTCTCTAATACAATTCTTTTCATTCTGTTCTAGGCAGTATTCACATTTTCCCCCCTTGTTAACACATTCATTCTGCAGAGAGTTTAATCTACCTTCTTCTTTTCTTTTCTTTCCTTACATAATTTGCCATATGTTTTTACTTCAGCTCTAGAATCTTTTACTTCTTTCTTTCTTTCTTTCTTTCCTATTTCTTTTGTTTTTCTTTTTTTAAAGAACTATTTATGAAACTAATAAAAAATGGTCTGCACCCCATTTGGAGTCGTTCATTATTCTTGTATTCTTCACTAATTTTCTCAATTTCTCATTATAAAGTAAGTATGTATGAATAAATTTATATTTAGTTATGTATTAGAAACAAACAGAACTTCTAAGTAAATTTTAATCATTGTTCTCATTCATTCTACAGTTTTCAAGACTAACCCAAATGTTTTCTATATTCTTTCATCATCTTCTTTTCACCCATTCAATTATGTCACCTCACAGAATAATATTTTCCTCTGAATCACATCCATTCTAAAGGTTGCACAATTGTCCCTAAAACTCCTCCGTAGTTTTTCTGTTATCACCAATCTATAAATTCCTATTTTCATACATACTCATAGCAACCAAAATGACCCTGGTTCTGACATTTCTGCAGCCCTTTTACTTATAATTAAATGTATATCTTTATTTCCCTGCAAGTATTTACCAATTCTACTCAGAATGGTTTATATTATATATAAAATATTATATCATTTATCTTATTTTCATAAAAAACATAACAATTTATTTTTCTTTTTTTATTTCATTTGTGTTCCTTAGCATTTACTTTTTTTATATTCTGAATTGGAATTTTCCATATGCAGGTAGTCCTTGAATTACAACAGTTCATTGAGTGATTTTTCAAAGTTACAACGGCACTGAAAAAAAGTGACTTATGACTATTTTTCCCACTTATGACTGTTGCAGCATCCCCATGGTGACGTGATTTATATTTGGATGCTTGACAACTGACTCACATTTATGACGGTTGCAGTGTCCTAGGGTCATGCAATCACCTTTTGCAAACTTCTGACAAACAAAGTCAATGGGGAAGCCAGATTCACTTAACAACCATGTTACTAATTTAACAAACAGTGATTCACTTAACAAATGTGGTGAGAAAAGTCGTAAAATGGGACAAAACTCACTGTACAAATTTCTCACTTAGCAACATACATTTTGGGCTCAATTGTGGTCGTAAGTCGTGGATTACCTGTACCATGTTCATCATAGATGGGCGCCTAAAAATTGACCTCCATTGGCTCCCAACATGGCTTTGGTTACTCAAAGATTTTGCATAATGCATTTTTTATAAGAGCAGGATAGACTATAGCACTATCTGTAGTATCTGTGTGCCATATGGGGCATTTCCTACTAATGGTAAAGATAAGACTGGTACATTCAGGCACACATAGGTCAAAATTCAACAAGTGCAACCAAATCTCAGTTTTACCACATAAATGATTACCCTATTCCAAACAAGTTAGTATATTGGCATACTTTTGCTCACATCCCAGCAACTTGGAGGGGTGGCAAACATATTGACATATATTCAGGATGCCCCTTGAGAACCTAGCTTAAGAATATTATTTGATTCATGTTTTCTAGAACAGGTATTATGAGTCATAGTGAAATGTCATGTTGTGGGGATTTTTTTAAAATTCCTTTGAACTATCAGATGGGTCTTGAGATTGGCAATAAGCTGTCAGCACTCTCAAGCACATTATTAAAGAAACGTGAGTGTATGGTTTCACTCCTATCCACTGAACATTGGAGGTCCTTGACTCATAGTTCTGCCAGTGATAAATATCTCAAGGTTTTGTTCTAGTTTCTATTATGTAGCTTAGAAAGTTTTAATATGAAAGTATTGTCTGCTGCAGGTTAAAAAGTTGGCTGTGTCAGCAGTTTTGATGAAAACTGCTCACCCTGATTCCATGATTTTATTTCTCAGATACGGGGTCTATACTGTGCCTGATTTACCTGCTGAATTCCCCCCCCCTTTCCTGTATTACTTTAAAGATAATTTTTCAGGACTTGAATCAGGCTAGAAAGTATGCAGAGAATGTTTGTTTGTTTATTAAATTTATGTGCTGTCCATCAAAGGTGTGACCTCCTTCATCCATCACAAATATTGCGCTTTGAGAAATTTGTTTTCTAACTCTTCAAGTATTATTTTCTTCCATAGGTGAAAAACATCCCAACTTTGAAGTGAATTATAACCATGGCTTTTTATATGAAAAGGAGAGAGAGGCTATGCTGCCAGGATGCATGGCGGAGCAAGCCTTCAGCAATGCCATTGGTTATCTTGGTGCAGAACCAGCGCACTCACTTGCGCAAACCTCAACTGCTCCAACTTCAGAGATGGTGCCTGTTATCAGCAGCCTATACCCTCTTACATTCACTCACACTGAAATGCCCAGTAATAACCTGCTGAAAATGGAAAAGAGGGACATCCAAACGAGAGACAAGATACCTATTGAGCAAGGCCTTTCTCCAAACAATAGTGGTCAACATTCTACAGATTCAGATAACAATCAAGAAGAGAACCAGAATCATGCCTACCTTCAAAATCAAATGGTTCCTCCTCCTTTGCAGGCCAGGAATGGACCTCTGACTTTCAAGGAACACTCTAGACCATATGACTTGTTCAGGCAACCAACTGTTTGTCCTTGTGATGTCTTGAAAGTCTTCAACAAAGAAGGTGAACACATTGGATCCTTTAGATGTGATCATTGTCGTATTCTTTTCTTGGATTATGTTATGTTCACTATCCATATGGGATGTCATGGTTTTCGTGACCCTTTTGAATGTAACATGTGTGGGCACAGGAGCAATGACAAATATGAGTTCTCCTCCCACATAATTCGAGGTGAGCACAAACCAGGTCTGATATGAGAGCAAAATTACTCTATTCTTTTCTGAGGCACTCAATGTGCATCTGTATTGCAAAATCAGCCAGTTTTTGAAGTAGAATTAAATATTGAGTTTTCTCAAAAAGATAAAACAAATCTGATCACGGATGTATGAATGGGTATTTTAATGAAATTCACTTAAAGAACTAAAGTGTTCAGCATTCTTTGACCAGGAACTAAGAAGGTTAAACATTATAATTTCTAATACAGACAGCATAAAAAGAACTTTTTAAAAACAACGATCTTCTTAAATTCTAAACTTTTTAGAAAAACTGGTTTATTTTTCAATGATTCTCTGCTTTTCAACATTTTATTAGCAATGTACTAACATTTGGCCCAGCCATCTTTTGTCTAGTTAAACATCTTTTGCATGACTTATGGCAAAGTGTTTACTGTATTATAGTGCTGCCTAACTCCAGCAAATGTTACGCCTTATTTTACCACATGTTGTTTTTTAAGGAAAACAAAGGTTTCTTCCATACTAGACTGCTATTAAGCTGTCAAACTGCCTTATTCAGAATTCTACTAAATGTCCAAATGACATCATTTTCTATTTCTAACCTTCTTGTCTCAGAATTGCAATAAAGAAAAAAACCTCCAAATTGCTCCACAATGTCTTTCAGCAGCATTCTGGAAGCACATAATGATGATATATAGAAAGGTATAATGACAAAAGTAAAGGCATTTTCGTACAGAAAGAAATTACAATTTAACAAACATCTAGAACTCATGTGGTTAAGACCTAAGGAATGCCAACAAGAAGGGAATTTTTAAAATGTGGAAACCTGTGACTGAATTAAAATCTAAATCATTATGAACCCAAAGTGCTGAACATGTAACTTATTGCCATCTTTATGTTTTGGACATCCATGAAAAAAAAATGAAGGTACATCATTATGTGAACATTTGATAAAGATTTGTAGGGGAAGAATTTAAGAAATTTCTTATACATGCCATTCTTTGATACATGCACTGTCATATTTACTTGTAGCCAATAGATATTTGAAGTCATGTGTCATACAGATATTTGTCAAATTTGCTGGGAATGCCTTCAGCTTTTGTTGACTATTGAGTACGGAACACAAGATGGGTAGCTAGGATTTGTTGTTTTTCTAGGAATGAAGTTATCCTCTATAGTAGTAGTGTTCCAATCCTAAAGCTGCATCACATGGACAAAAGTAGCCTGTTAGCTATAAACTCACACCAAGCAGAAGACAATTTTGTTGTTTTCTGTCCTTCAAGATAAATTCCAGATTTGATGAAGAGGGAAAATTGGGAGTAGGATGGGGATGAAGACATGCCACCACATTTCATTGAAAGTCACATTTTCAATGAAATGTCAAAGTTTCTTCTGAGCAAAATAGTAGGGGAATATTGAAGGGATATTGAGATACAATAAACAGCAAAATCTCTCAATGGTGAATAGGGGGGGGAATCCAATACATGCTAAGAAATTTTGCTCAGCATCAGCTTTCAAAATCTAGATTTTTTTTCCTTCAAAGAATTCTTAAGAAAAAAAATGAAGTTTCTATAAGGCTAGAGAAATTACTCAGGCCAGTGGACGAAGATTTGCATTACTGTGCTAGTAACTTTTTACTTAAGTTTGCTTAGTCTCATTTCATTCTAATACTTCCGGAAGAAGAAGCTTTTCTCTTACCTAGTAAACAAAAAAATATCTACTATTATTATCCAAATAGATTTAATATTATCACGTAATAGCTAAGTCTTATTTCTAATATATGGTAATATTGTGTATAAACACTGCTGCTTCAACTAATGGCTGCTTAGAACAGTGGTGGGTTTCAATTTTTTTTACTACTGGTTCTGTGGGCGTGGCTTGGTGGGTGTAGCAGGGGAAGGATACTGTAAAATCTCCATTCCCACCCTACTCCAGGGGAAGGTTACTGCAAAATCCCCGTTCCCTCCCAATCAGCTGGGACTTGGGAGGCAGAGAATAGATAGGGACGGGGCCAGTTAGAATCTTTACTACTGGTTCAAAATTTCTGCTACCGGTTCTCCAGAACTGGTCAGAACCTGCTGAAACCCACCTCTGGCTCAGAAGCCTTCTCTTAAAAAAAATTGGAATGTTTTGACTTTAAACATAAATCTCTACTGTGTTTAGTTTATATTGTAAATCGCTTATTTCAATGTCTTTTTTTCAATGTAAATTAATAGATATAATTTTAATACAATATGATTTTCAATATACATGGCTCTGAAGATTTTACTTTATTGTTATTTTTGGTCTAGATTAGAAATTGTAAACCGTCTTTGTAATCCGGTAGAAACAGTTCGCTAATACTTGAATCAAGGCATCTAAATTGAGAACTAAGAAATCTAATAACAGTGGGATCAAAATGCACATTCTGTACAGTCAAGTCACCCTCCACCCACTCCACCAACAAAATCCTTTTAGGAACAAATAGCAATGTGGACAATAAAGACATAAAATATTTTAATTGCAAAGGAAACAGGAGGCCAAATTCTTTGTCTGGGGGATCCTCCACTACCATTTTCTATGAAAAAAAATGCTATCTTTATTTGGCAAATGCTGATTCACTAGTTTCAGATTTATCATGCTAGTAATCAATCATTGCAATATTTTTTCTTTCTATCTCAAGGATATCTTGCATATGAGAAAAACACTATATGGGAACAAAGTAGTAGCAAATTCAGAAAACCATTTCACAAGTCTTTCCTATATTATCCTTGTACTTAAGCACACAATTTCTCAATATAGGAACTCTGTTGGGCCAATTTAGTCCAAGATGCTGTTTCAAGTAAAAGCTAACCAGCCTTAGTGGATTGCTTGAACTAGCAAAATGGGAAGCCGAAGGCCTCAGATCAGGGGTGAAATGCTCCTGGTTCGGACTGGAACACCCAATCTAGTAGCGATGGCTGCGGGTGGTTCAGAGAACCGGTAGCAAAAATCCCTCTCCACCCCCATGCCCAGCTGAGCCGCACAATCATCAGAGGCTTTTTATTTTATTTTTAAAAGCATTTTTTCTACAATCTCTTCGGCTAAAAAAATGCTTTTAAAAGTAAAAACAAAGCCTCTGCTGATCAGACAAGTCAGCTGAGATCGCCAGAGGCTTTTTTAAAAAAAGAAAAGCCTCTGATGATCAGGCAAGTCAGCTGGGATGCCAGAGGCTTTTAAAAGCATTTTTTTACAATCTGTTCAGCCGAATAGGTTGTAGAAAAAATGGTTTTAAAAGTTTTTTTTTAAAAAAAGTTGGCCATGCCCACTCAGTCATATTAACCCACCCTCCACCAAGCCACACCCACAGAACCGGTAGTAACAAATTTTACATTTCACCACTGCCTCAGTTCTCCTCTACTAGAAGTCCTTGGGTTTTCAACTCTGGCCCCAATTTCTGCTTTCTTCATTTCTGTTGCCGCCATCTTTCTTCCGGTGGGGCATGTTATTTGTTGCTCATTTGATAACCAGCATGCAGAAGAACTAGGTCATTTATGGTAATTAAGAGATAAAAACAAACTGAAATAATAATGCCCTTCTATTGGGAGTGATAGACCAATCTCATAAGGAATGAACAAAATTAACCTTTATTTAAAAAAAGAAAACAGATAAAATGTATCAACCTCTTATTAACTTTAAATATTGAAATACAAACATTCAGGGTGAAGAGATTCTAGTACAAAGTGACCAACTCAGGTCAGCAACTTCCTGAGTAATTAAAAAAAAAAAAAAAGGAAAAAAGATAATAATAAAATATCAGGCAAGCCACAAGATGGCACTGGTTTTCTAGAAATGGAAATTTTCATTACTCAAACGAAGGAGGCATTTTAAAACAATTTTACAGAAAAAATATAACTATATAAACAGTCCTGACAAATTGAATAAAAACATTTGGTCTAGTTTGGTCTACTGGTTAAGACAGCAGGCTGAAAACCAAGAAACTGTAAATTCTAATCCTGCTTTAGGCATAAAACTGGCTGGGTGACTTGGGCTTCACAGGATAGTTGTGGGGAAAGTAGGAGGACAAAGGAATATTAGTTATGTTTGGTGCCTTGAGTTATTTATAAAAAATAACAAAGGTGAGATAACAAATCTAAAATAAAAATTTAAAAATAAAGTTCCACGTATTGTCTTAAATTTTACAGAAAATTAAAAAATCCTACATTTAGATTTCATTCCACAAATGGAAATAAAAAAATCTTAGTGCTATTTCTTAGCTAGAGTTTTAACTATTTTCATAAAAGTAAGATGTTTTTCTGAAGCAAAAGTATTCTGCTTTCTTTCTTGGACTTCATCAGCTTCTAGAAAATTTCAGAGGCAAATTCACTGGATTTAGGATTAGTGTTTTTTTCTCAGATTCTGTTCCCCAACTTCAATTGCCTTTTGTTATTTAAACAAACACAACCCCTTTGTGATTTCCTTAGAGCAGTGTTTCTCAATATGGGCAATTTCAAGATATACTGTATGGACTTTAAACTTGCTGGCTGAGGAATTCTGGAAGTTGAAGTTCACATATCCTAAAATTTCCAAGGTTAAGAAACATTAGCATAGAGAAAAGATTAGAAATAATCTGTCTCTGCAAGGGACAAGAACAATCCTCATTTGAGTGAACGTGCTTCTTTTAATATGGAGTTTCCTCTTGCAACTAAGTCCTGATACACTAACCTTCCATGGATTCTGCTAACCTCTCTTGAGAGGATTCTAGTTAGCACATTAAGAAGGTATTTGATGGAGACAAACTGATCAAAGTTGGAACTCCTCTAAATCAATGACTATTACATAACTTGTGATATGGAAAATACAAAGTTAAATGACTGGATTAAATCTGTCTTGACTCTATTATCAAACCATTAAAAAAAAATCAAATTCTAGTCTTATGACAATGACATATTAATGCTTTAAACATTTTAATAGTAACTTAGGCCAGAGTTCCCCAACCTTTCCAGTTTTGCGGACTGATGGGGGGGGAGGGGATGATTCCGCATGAGTGGCAGGCAAGCGCACACATGTGCCCAGATCTATTTGCATGAGAGTGTGCCTATGTGACAACTGCTCATGCAAGTGATGATGTGCATGCATTCGTCTGCCTTCCACCTCCAAGGCCCAGTTCCAACACCTCAAGGCCTGGTAGTGGTCTGCGGCCTGGGGATTGGAGAACCACTTCCCTACTTGTGAGAAAATATTTCACATTATCATTTGTGGGCCTTGGAAATTTTAAAGGCTGAAATAGGCATGCTGCTGCGAATTATCATGGATACTTTCAAAACCCCCATTGAAATGAAATATTTTAAACATAGTTTGAGTCTGATTTCTTCCATATGATTGTACTATAGTCTGCTAAATTCCATTTAAATCATTGGCTCTGCTGGCAGTATGCTGAAGTCTCATCAAAACAGTGAAACATTTTACTAAAGATAAATTTCAGCCAACATATGAAAATGTTAACACCAATAAGACCAAGGAGCTTATAGTGGACTACAGAAAGAATAGATCAGATATTCAGCCCTTGGTTATCAATGGAGACCATTGCAGCACTGATCAAAAGGCCCAGCAGAGATTATACTACCTGAGACTTCTCAAGAAACAACAACTGATTGAAACATTGCTGATGACCTTCTACTGCTGCACTATAGAGATTATCACTATAGAGAGTAATTTACTGCACCTGTGTATGGTTTGCCAATTGCCCAGTGGCAGATAGGACAGTGCTCCAGAGGATTAATATCATTGCCCAGAAGATCATTGGTGGCTCTCTCCTCTCCTTGGAAAGCTTTATAGCTCCTGCTGCCTTAAGAAAGTTCAAAATGTTCTTAAAGATCCATCTCATCCTGGGCATTTTTATTTTTTTTTGAACTATTGCCATCTGGCAGATGGTACAGGGCAATAAAAACAAAGACAAATAGGTTGAAAAACAGCTTCTATCCCAGAACAGTAACTATGTTGAATTCCTCTGTATAGTGCATTAATGCAGTATCAGGGGTTTTCAATTCAATTGTGTAGAATGTGAAGGATGTGTGTTTTGTTTTATTTTTTTATAGTTTTCTTATGTATGATGTATACTGAAGATGGCATTTAATTTCATTGTACAAGGTGCAATGACAATAAAGTAAACTTAAACTTAAATGTGCTATCCTTCAGAGCATTGATCTAATTAACATCCAAGATAGTAGAGCTTTGATTAGAAATGTCAAGTATCCAAGAACGGTTCCATCTTAATTGGAGTGCAGTGAAGCGTTTGTCTCTTTTGTGGTAGCTGCTACATCTCAGAAGGATAATGCTCTTGTTTTGGGAAGTAACCAGTAACTCAGAGGAAAAAAACTGGAAATTTTACAGCAAGGCTTACTCACGGGACAACTAGAAACAGTAGACTTTTTTAGAAGACCATCAAGATTCTGTGATTTGTGTGTGCAGTTTTTAGATGAAGTCTCTCTATGTTTGTCAGACTGTTTAATCTTTGGAACTGTGATATTTGCTAATATTAGAAAAGTTGGTTGATCAGTGTGTGATTATATCTTTTAAAAAGGGGGGAAGGGTGCAAAAATAACACTTCAAATCTAGGAGAAACAGCAGTCTAAGAGAAAAAAAGAATGGTCTAGAAAGCAGAGAGAAAGACAAAAGTGTGAGTGCCATGTATAAAACACGTGTAATAAAGAACTTTAAACTAAAAAAAAAAATGAAATATATTCTCATATTAAGATGGATAAATACAGGTTAGGTATAGTGATGTATATTTCACTATACCCCCTTTTCTTCTATGGGATATCTGTGATTGATTAGGAATTCTAGATGCTACAATCTTTATAGCCTGGTGGATAAGATAAGAGCTGATGTGGTTCCCATCTTCAAAAAAGGAAAAAAAACCAGACCCAGGAAATTACAAACAAATCAGCTTAACATCAATACCCGGGAAGGTACTGGAAAAAAATCATTAAAAAACAGATCTGCCAACATCTAGAAATGAGTAAAGTAATCACTAGAAGTCAGCATGGATTTGTTAAAAACAGATCATGCTAAACCAATATTATTTCATTCTTCAGCATAGTGACTAAGTTAGTAGACCAGCGAAATACTGTGAACATAATATACTTAGATTTCATCAAGGCATTGGCTGAACAAATTTGCTAGAC